AGATAGGCAAATTGTACCAATAGTACCCAAATCAAATTAAAAATCTTTCTTCAAATTAAATAACAAAATCTAACCTAACCGAAATTATGGCTAGACCAATCTTTTAGTTTTGCCTTGATCGTTGAATATATTTATATTTAATTTATTGTGGCTCATTGCAAAATCATCGAGTAAAAACAAAAGAATGTGCCAAAAAAATAACTAGACCGTATAATGATGTTGAAAAATTTAATATGAAAACCAACTTATAATTTTCCCATACTAGAAAAATCGTTCAAATCGTATGGAATTATACGTTTTAACTCGATTTTCAGTTTCGGCTTCAGTTTTCATTACCCCTATTTGAATTGTCAATTTACTTTGAACAACATAATAATACCACCTCAAATTTCTTTGAAAATTCTTTTGTGTTTTTTTCATTTAAAATAAAAAAATTTCACTCAATAGTCAATAAAAGTCATAATCGCCAGCTGTACCGAGATAGCAAAAAGACCATAAAATATCGTAATCACTGGCGTAATAAAAAAGGATAGCGTTTTAGTTCAAACTGCTTTATATAGATTGATTACTTCATATGACAAACTCAATAAAATAAAATCATTAGGAGATAAAATTAAGCTTAAAAGTCAAATAAATAGTGGCGTGACCTTTGATTATCCAAATCCAGTCTCATCATATCATGCACCTGCACCATTATATGCTAAATAGCTATAATAATAACTTTTTAAATGAATGATTAGGTTGATAAACACAATTTTTGACTATGGACTATATAATCCGATGAATATCCATTGTCACGTGAAATAATTCGTAAATTCATCCTTCTTACTTTCTAGTTGAAATTTGACTTGCGTGATCAACTTTTTTGACATATAACAATAATTAGTTGACTTAATTTAGACTTTTTTTTGCCATGTGTTTATTGAATAATAATAACACTTAAAATTTCGAACATGCGAACGTGATTTGCGTTGTAATCATGCGTGCATGCGGTAATATATACGATTTGAGGTGTTATGAGTTTGTGTATCTTAGTAATGATATGATTAGGATTATGATTTTGTTGAATTTAACTATTTTATTTGATGGTCTATGCAGAAAATATATAAAATTAAGCCCTATCACATACTAGAATCATTATTATTATCATTAATATTATCTTTTTATGATGTACATCAGTTGACAAATCAGGAGTGTGTTTAACATTTCTAACGAATGCTTTTATGACGTAAATAAATTAAGGACCGAAAATATTATTACTTATTGATGTCGTAAACATACGAACATATGTATCTTTTTGCACAATGAATACAAAAGTCCAATTTTTGATTAATTGACCTCGCATGGCGCTTCTCTCTTATTAAAAAATAAATAAAACAATAGTAGTAATAAATTAATAAGAAATAGAACAATTTAGAATATTGAATATTGCTTTCCAATAAATTCTTGCTAGCTCTCAAAAAAAAATCGTGACAATTGCATGTTCCAGTCTCTTTCTTGAGCCTTGCTCCTTCAACTTTTTCTATTATACACAACT